AAATCAGTTACATCAATGACGTTCCAAAGAAAACAAAAGAAAAAATCTAGAGATCCTAATCAATCCAATACGATTCTAAATTAATAGTTCAATGAATACTAATCAATCAATTGAGTTTACAAGAAATTGCTCTTCATGGGAAGTACACATTATCGATTATAGTCCATCCAAGGCGAACATTAGCAGTTTCATTCTAAAGTATTCTCTCTCACATATCGGCCCATTCGAAGTGAATCTCGCTATTTTGATGCCCAAATCTCGTACTAGGTAGATCAGGGTCTTGTTGCCTATTGCAATTTGAACAAAAACCGCCTAAATCATACATCGATTGTGCTTGCCCGTACCCATGTGCATGCTCGTTCTGCAGAGCTGAAGCCCTGCAATCATGACGAAACTGTCCAACGGCCGGTGGCGCTGTGTTGGCAGTGCGCAGTGCTTCGGCCTATTGGCCTCGCTGACCAACTGAGGTGCTCCCACCCAGCAAACAAAACCGTCATTTGAATAACCTCGGGATGAAAACAGAATTTGAAGCATTGTCAAATACCGTATTGAAGTCACTGTCTCGGGCCTGCACGAAGCCGACTTCGACACATCAAAAGATGTAATCTGCAAAGCGCCATTTCCCAATGTAGACCCTCAATATAGATTCCGATCGATGTATCGGGTTTTGGGCTGAGGGGCTAGATTTATTAAGGCATTGCCAACATACAAAAGCATGAAAGTACTGTGTCAAATGACGACGAGGCCGACTTCGACACACTAGGAGAAAACTCTGCAGAATGCCGTTCCCCAAATATGGACGCCGATTGATGCGTAAAAACACCGAGCGATGCGAGATGAAGCGACTACAAGTAAAGCAAAAGATCCTCCTCTTAATAAGTTTAAGCAATGTAACGGACCAAAATTCACAATATTCACATGCTAGTATTAAGTCTCTCTCCATGAATTTCACGTCCAATTTTCTGTTCATGTGAACAACAGCTGTATCAGATGTTCAAACAAACAAAGCCGACTCAACATGCACTGGCAAGCTTCCTCGTGGTGCATGAATTTGAAGATAACTTGAGATTCTCTCGTTTCTGCCCTTCCATTTCTGAAAGGGCATTCGAAGCTTAACGCGTTGCCATTGGTCACTGAATGACAAATCTAATTAGGTGATCACGTTCTCAAGTTACGCTTGCCCACAAGCTTGGCGGCAGTGTGCCTTAGTGTGCCTTTGCACCCTGCCCTGCTAGGCACCGGTCGCCGGGCACAAGTCCAGAACAAACCCACGCGCGATTTGAGGTTGAATTGAAAGTACGCAAGTGGGGAAGCGCGAGTGGAAAGAGATGGACCTCAAGACCTCAGCTCTCAAGCACAAGCCGACGTGGACTCGTGTAAGGCGGAGCTGAGTGAGGCCTCTCAACCACTCGAAAAAATTCTGGCATGTGCGCCGCTAGGCAAGGGCCAGGCCGGCCAAATGTGCAAGCGCGGAAGATGCGCCGTGGTAAACGTGATTCAAACACGCGAAACATCTTCAAATGTTTCGCGATATGGATGGCATCACCTTTGGGATGTCTCAAAAATTTAAGTCGGAGGTGGTGATCTCGTACTCATCTCTGAATGTGGTGAACTTGGCTGCGCTGCCACTGATCATAGCGGCGTAATACTCGATCGAACCCGCTCCCTGTTAATAATAGAGTATAATATCATATAATATCATAAAATATGAGAAAATATAACATAATAATAATTGTTTCGGATCCTGCACAAGGATGACACGCACACTCAAGAAGTGTACAAGATGACACGCACACTCGAGAAGTGTACAAGATGACACGCACACTCGAGAAGTGTACCGCCATTCGACATGGCTCAAGTGCGACAAAAGATCGCCGATGGTGTGGGTTTTTGAGGGAAGGATTGGGGTTGAGGTTCGTCCATGCTTGTAGTGCATGTAAGCTATGCAATCTACTTACGACCCTCTTGATGACGTACCTATTCAGTTTCGTAGATCTCCTGCTCCTAGTCATTATTCGCTGGTTCCTACTACCCCTTCTACCAACCCTCAAGCTCATAACCTCCAAGAGGTTATGAGCCCAAGGGCTCCCAGCACCACTCCGCATCAACAAGCAGCAGCAGCAGCATTAGCTTCAGCAGAGCTGCAGCAATCCCCTGTCGTGACCTTCAGGCAGATGACCCAGATCCAGATGCCGGCAGATGCACTGAGATCCTTCGCAACTAGCATCTCCGACGACATTTCTTTTGCAGCTGACATCCAGGCGGCTATGATTGAATTGTCCTCCAGGGTGCAGTATCGGACCGAAGTGCTTGCTACAGCTTTGGAGAATGTTGGTCAGACAGTCAACGGCGTGCAGGAGGGCTATGGAAACATGGTCCGTGGTATGGAGAAGCTTCATGCCGACCTGCAGAGACAGCAAGAAGTCATCCAAGGCTTGGTGGATGCCAAAGCTAGAGGTGATATGGAAGTGCGCGCAACAATGGAACAGATGAGGAATGAGGTGAAGCAGAGCTTGGAAATGCAAGTCCAGGATCACGCAAGTCACCAGCGGGAGTTGAATGGATTCCTGCAACGGGAGGCAGCCATGAGTGCCAAGATGGAAATGCTTGAAGCACAGGTTGCCAAACTTCGGGACCTCATGAAAGCCCAGGACATCAGACTGAACTGCCAGGCGGAAGCCCTGCAGCAGACCGTAGCCGGGCAGACTGGGGCGTCGCGTTCAGCCACAGGTGATATGCTAGTGGAAGAACTTCGGGCTCGGGTGGACAGCTTGAGCAATCAGACAAGTCATGTGGCAGAGGCCGCAGAGACCTTGCTAGCCAGGGTGGCCATGATCGAAGAAGATTCTTGGAAGGAGGCAGTTCAGGAGGAGTTGGGACAACTGAGGCAAGACATGGACGTGTTGGTGGAAGGTGCTAACGACCGTGCTGCTCATTTCCCTTTGACCCCGGACGCTTACTGCCAGGAAGCGAGTGGTCAGCCGCAGTTCGACGCCGACGAGGCCGAGAATGAATGGTGGGGTTGGCAGGGCAACAACAGGGAGAAGATGGACAATCACTATGCGTGGCGTGAAGACCTTGGGTGCCAGAATGCTTGGGGACTCACGCCGCCGCCGGGGCTGGTGTGTGAGGAAGTTGGCCATCCTGGCCGGCAAACTCCTACGTTCCCGGGGCTGGTGCGCGGAGAAGATGGCCAATATGGTCAGAATGCGCCTACAGACTCGGGGATGGTGCGCGGGGAAGATGGCCAGCATGGTCATAGTGCGCCAGCAGGCGCGGGGCTGGTGCGCGGGGAAGATGGACAGCATGGTCAGAGTGCGCCTTCAGGCTCGGGGCTGGTGCGTGGAGAAGAAGGCCATGTTGGTCCGGCTGCGCCAACGTCGCCGGGGCTGGTGCGTGGAGGACGTGAGACGAGCGAGAAATCTAGACAAGATGATCGCATGGAAACCGACAAGGAGCAGTGGAAGGTGCTGACGGACATCCCAAACTTTGACTTCTCAGGCAAAACTCCGTGGGAGCTGGGAATGTCTTATACCACTTGGAAACGTCAACTGTGTACGGTTGCGGGAACAGCGTCTGGGAAGTTCCAATCCTTTGTGGAAGCTTGTGTGGCCGAAGCAGAGATGAGATACCAGTGCAAAGCTCAGGACCGGGAGATGCCCGCCCTGGGCTCCTACAGCCGTTACCCTTCGGGATATGCAGGACGACTTGTGGTGCAATTGCTAAGAGTGCTCCCAGAGAGGATCACTGCCCCAGCTATGGAGATGACAAGTTCAGCCAATGAGATCCACCCCGTGCAGATCTTGGAGGAGTTAAGTGGCCAGGTGCAACCAGGAGGTTGCTCAGAGCAAACGAGCTTGACCAAGTTCATACGCTCTCTTGAGCCGGCTGGTTCAGCAACCGAGGCGGTTCAGGTGCTACGCCGGTGGAAACTGGCTCGCTCCAGGATCCAGAGCCTGGGGTTGCCGGAAGCGGCGCCATTTGAGCTGCTCAAAGGTCTCCAAACCCTTATTGCCAGGCTAGAAAAGAAGCATGATTCACTGAGGACAAGGATGTCTCTTTGCAGATTGGACACGTCGATACAGCTGGGAAAGGCTCAGGGTGTCGAACTCATGCTGGAGAATATCGAGAGAGAACTCCGATTGTTGTCGGCGGACGAGTACTCGAAGAGCAACACCTCAGGCGAGCATGAGATCAGCTTGGCGAACAAAGGTAAAGGAAAGGGATTCAAAGGCAAGGGCAAGGATGGAACCAAAGGGGTCAAGGGCCAAGAGGACAAGAAGAAGATACCGTGTCCGTTCCTACAGAAGGGCAGTTGTTCCTTCGGAGATCGCTGTTACTACAAGCATCCTGACGCATCGCATCAACCTCCGCCTACGAATCCCAAGACAGATGCTCAGAGGAAGAAAATTCCGTGTCGGAACCACAAGAAGGGCACGTGCAAATTTGGGGACAAGTGTCGATATCTTCATGAGGATGCAGCTACAGCCAAAGCAGCAGCCAAAGCCAGTGGAACCCTGATGGGAGTGGAGAAGGGAGCAGCAGCAAAAGCCAAAGCTTCAGCCGCAGTTCCCAAGGCCTCGTCGGTGGTGTTGGCCAGTGTGTGCAAGATGGCTCGCTCAGATCTTCTAGAGGATGAGAATTCTCCATCGAGCTCCGATTCAGAGATGACTCATATCAGCGAGGCTGCGTCAGATGAATCCACAGCAAGCTATGCGCGACAGAGCCAGGATGAGTTCTCAGAGGAGGAATTTCTTGACACAGGTCCTCAGAGAAATCCCTTGTGGAGGCTTCACATGAGGCCGGACGAGTTCTTGGAGTGGCAGAGAGGACAGATCATGTCGGCGCCGAGGGATTTCCAGATGGTAACAGACGGCCTGGACGTAGCGGTGGGGGTAATGGTCAACGTTGCTCACTTGGACCAAGGACTCCCAGCATATAACATTCCAATTGATGAAGAACAAGAGATAGTGTCGGTGCATGACGTGTTGATCATGTGTGAGGACAATGTTGCAAGGCCCGGAGTCATTGCATGGCTGTTAGATCTTGGCCCCTCGCGAAATGAACTTTTCTTGGCTGCGATTGAGAGCCCTCGTCCTCCGAAAGTACGCCAATCCAGAGCGACAGGATCCCAGGATCCGTTGCCCGCAGAACACATGAGGCCCCAATCCGGGGATCCTTATTCCGAGGACCTTTTGAGAATGAGCATAGTGGACATCTTGGAGCAGGTAGACTTCAAGGAGGGAGCCGCATACTTTGATTCTCTGGGTGTTGAGATTGTTCACGATTTGGTGTACTTGGAGGTGGAACATTTCCATGGAATCCCGGAGCTTGCGAGGATCAGACTATTGGAGCTGAGGGGAGCTTTGATGGGAAGTGGTTCTTCGCAAGGGTCGCAAGCCAGAAAGGCCCAGGCCATGACAGGAGATGGAGACGTGGGGGTGTTGCTAGACTCTGGAGCCAATGAGATAGTCAGAACTGCGCCCGACCCTAAACCCCATAGATCGAGACCATCTCCTCTACAACTTGCTGACGGGCAAAGCGTGCAGGCGTGGAGGACCAGGGAAGGTGAGATATACATCCAGACAGAGTCAGGAAGATCTACCCTGTGCGGCCTGTGCAAGTTGGTAGACATCGGGGCGACCTTCACATGGTCGCCGAAGGGGGCTGCCTTGAAGCTACCTCCGGAAGTGGGAGATCATTGGGTCTCTTTGGGTGTTCGAAATGGGTTGCCCTATTTGCCATGGGAACATTACAGAATCCTAAGGCCCATGTTGACGAGGCAGTGGAAATCGAGATGCTCGCAGGCCACAGTGCAGGTGAACTCAGACTCCGAGCCAGTCATAGCGACTCAGGAGGAGAGTCAAATCATCGAATGGGATGAGATGGGAAGGGCAGCTATGGCTCAGGAAGAGGCGGTGGCTCACAGAGCTGTGGACGCCAAAGATGGAGAAGAGTTTGCTAAGGCCCTAATGGGGAAGGAGAACCTCACGTATGTGGACATTGCCGATGTGGTAGCGAGAGCAAGATTGCCGTGCGCCAGGACTAATAGAATGAACAAGATCCAGAACGCTGGCAAGCAGGTGAACCTATGGGTGTTTGGGGCATGGAGTGTTGGCGGTTTGCGAGGAGTAACATCGATCACCAAGGAGAGACCCTGGCTCACAAAGATCTTGACGAAATTCATTTCTTCTCAAACGTCGGTGCCATTCCTATCATTTGTCGTGTCGCAGGACGTGGTGTTTAAACCACACCAAGATCCGAACGACGCTGCCTTTGACAATGTGGTAATCGGATTTTCAGAACACAAAGGAGGAGAAGTGTGGATCGAGGCAGACGATGAGTCCAAATTGAAGCCGGAAGAGATTGCTTGGAGAATGGTGAAAGCTGGTGGGGAGCCCCTGGCCGGAACACTTCAGCCTACAAGCGGAGGAAAAGTAGTCATATTCAATGGCCGGAAGTATCACGGCACAGAGCCGTATGAAGGAAGTCGGAAAGTTCTTGTGGCTTATGTTCCTCGAGGCTGGAAAAATCTTGATGAGAAGGACCAAGCGGCCCTCGAGGATTTGGGCTTCAAAGCACCAGCAGACAATGCAACACCAGCAGACCACATGCCGCAAGCAGCAGCAAGCCATACGATGAGCAACGCCACTCCACCGAACAACGACCCGAATGAACCCTTAGTGCACCCTATTTCTACTACTTCTGGGGAAGTTCAGGGATCAGTCCAGGCTTCAGAACAGGAAAGCTTATGCTTGGATGGCGGGGGCCAGGACTATGATATGGGGATTGAGGTTGAGTTCGGGGAAGAAGAGAGTTTATGCCATGCTGCACCAGCGGCGCCCGAGGGAAGACTTGCTTCCGAGGCTTTTGATGAGGCGCCGGATCTAGAGCTCCCAGACTCATCTTTTGTGACGCTCGAGAGGGAGACAGAGGACGATGAGGCTGCCAGGCGTAAGACTTTTCAGGAACTGGCGGCACAAGGGCTCCGTCATCCTCATAGACGGGTCAAACCGGCAGACATAGCTTTGGGATCTTTAGCAATTGATATTGCCGGACCTTACAAGGAGAGCTTTGGCGGTTACAAGTATTTTGTAGTGGGCATTTTTACTTTCCAAGTTGAGGGTATGGGCTTGGCTTTTGCAGTTCCCGCTACAAACCGGAAAGTGGAAACAATATTGGGGGCTACAGAGATCATCCTTGCTCAACTGTCGGCTATCACGGGGACAAAGGACAGCGTGGTGAGACTACACAGCGACAACGGTCTTGAGCTGGTCACGAGTCGTTTCAATGAGGCAATCAACAAGAAAGGAATTTTTAGAACAACGACGGTGCCATATAACCCCTCATCAAATGGGAGAGCTGAGAGGCAAGTTCAGGCCCTGAAACGAGGAGCGCTTCAATTCTTGATAGAAGGCGGATTGGAGCGAAGATTTTGGCCGTTTTGCGTCATGGAGGCTGCAGCTTGCCAGAGAGATATTGCCTTGGGAATGAGGGTTCCAAAGTTGGTTCCTGGGGACACCGTGGCGATTAAACTGGATCATGTTGAGGCCTTTGAACCGCGAGCGGAGCGAGCAGTGTTTTTGTCCCGGAATGCTTCTATGTCGAAAGGGGCGTTTGTGCTGGTGACTCGCAATGGAAGTCACAGATTGATGAGGGTACGGGCGCCTGTGAAGTTGGAAGCCGATGATGAGAAGTGGAGGGTAGCTAGCCTGGATGGAAAGAAGTTCTGGGTGTCATCCAAGGGATCTGTTAAAGAAATGGATTCCGAGACCATCGATGAATTGCCTACCTTGGAAGAGCGAGCTCACGGACCTGTGGATGGGGACTTGGTTTTGGGGGCACGCTTAGGCGAAGGAGCCGTGGTGGCAAAAGTGGCGCAATCTAATGAGCCGAAGTCATGCGACAAGTATCACGTGGAGACCTTTGAGGAGGAGGCTGATGCAGAAGAACAAGAAAGGATTTTAAATGTTTTGGCTAAGCAAAAGGCTGGAGCTGAAACAGTCAGCGCCAAGGTGTTCACAACGGGGACGGAGGAGGCACAGCATCGTTGGTTCTTAGCTGCTCAGAAGGAGGTGGCTTCGATGGAGGAGATGGAAGTATGGGATGAGCTCCCGGAAAATCCTTTGGAGCTGCGTGAGCACTTGGGATTGAAGCAAACAGACGAAATCCCCGCGATCCTGCCGATGTCTCTGGTGTGTACGGAGAAGCCGGTGCTGATGCAGCAGGACAAGCATGTGTTACAACAAGGCGCAGCCATCGCAGCTGAACAGGCGTCTGCAGCGATTCTGGAGAGAGTCAGGCTGGTGGTGTGTGGCAACTATGAAGACACATCTGGCATAGATACATCTGCTTACGCGTCGTCGAATGTGGATGTGAACTGCTTGAGGGTGATGTATTCGGAGTTGGCCAATCATCAAGAATGGGAGGGAATGGGATTCGATGTGAGTCATGCGTTCCTATACTCGGATCTTAAATCCAAAAACACCATCTTAATGCGACCTCCGAAGATTCTTCAAACGCTGGGGCTGATCAAGCGGGGACGGCTTCTTCGTGCGAAAAAGGGCATTTACGGACTTAGGTCGAGTCCTGTGTCTTGGGAGTTGGAACGAGACGTCCTGAGTGAAGCCACGTTACCGCCACTAGCAGAAGACGATTTGCCTGGCTTGAAGGTCCATGCGGTTTCGGACTATGCTGGAATGTGGGTGATTAGAAGAGAAGACAATCAGGAGATTGTGGCGATTGTCAGCATGTTTGTAGACGATGGGCTAGCCTTCGGGCTAAGGGAAGCTCTTCTGCGTTTCGGAGAACTGGTGGCCAAGAAGTGGAAGGTGAAGTGGCAAGGCCTGCTATCCAGGACTCCTTTTGCGGGACACATAACAAGAGGAGCGGTGGAGTTGGAGTACTCTAAGGAGATCATGTTTGTTGGGACACAAATCCGCTTGAACCATCGGGGTGTGGAGATCTCTCAACATTTGTGGTTATTACAAGAGCTTCAGAAGCGTCAGCTGATCCACTTGAGGGGGCAAGAAAGTCTTCCTGTACTTCATGAAGGAGAGCTTAGAGATGAGCGAGAAGATCCAATACACCTCGCGGAAAACTGAGGCACAGAGGGAGTTGGGCAGTTTGCTTTGGCTGGCTACAAAGTCCCGAGGGGACATAGCAGCAGTGATAGGGGCCGCAGCCACTTGCTTGACTAGGGCACCCTCGGAGGCTCTCAGAATTGCTAAAGGGACTTGGCGGTATTTGCGAAACACTTGTTTCTTGGCGGTGCTTTTCAAGGCTACAACTTCCAGCGTCTTGACAGGATATTCCGACGCCAGTTTTGCTCCGGGAGGGAGCAGATCGAGAACAGGAACGGTAGTCTCTTGGGGAGCCAGCCCAATTGCATGGTCCAGCAGGAGGCAAGCACTTACAGCATTCTCGACATGTGAGGCTGAAGTTGAGGGTATGGCCTCAACGGTTCAAGACCTGTTGCACGTTCATGCTTTGATTAAGGCTTTAACGGGGCGAGATTTGGGACTTGAGCTCAAAGCGGATAATACATCTGCTGTAACCCTAGTGACGAGGGAGCGATTTGTTGCTCATGGGTGGCGCACACGCCATTTCGCCCTTCGGGCGTCATGGTTGAGAGACATGACGGCTACAAGAGACATCTTGGTGGAGCACGCCCCTGGAGCAGGTTTGGTGGCAGATCTCTTGACGAAGTCTATTCCAAAGTGTCGTTTACAAATCTTGAGGCCGATGATGGGATTGATAGACACAAGCATATGATTATGAACCTGGCGGAGACTGGGACAGGAAAGATGGCGAGGCAAACGCAGGCTGACCGTCGAGCATATTCGTGGGAAGCGTGGAATTGTCCTCAATTAAGGCTTTTGATAAGTCCTCTGCCGAAGGAATAGTCCAGCAGGGGCAACGCGCATGTTTTTGATGTGCAATCCGAAGGGAAGCGGCAAAGCTCTCATGCTTTTCGATCTTTGCCGAGGAGGAGTGTTTCGGATCCTGCACAAGGATGACACGCACACTCAAGAAGTGTACAAGATGACACGCACACTCGAGAAGTGTACAAGATGACACGCACACTCGAGAAGTGTACCGCCATTCGACATGGCTCAAGTGCGACAAAAGATCGCCGATGGTGTGGGTTTTTGAGGGAAGGATTGGGGTTGAGGTTCGTCCATGCTTGTAGTGCATGTAAGCTATGCAATCTACTTACGACCCTCTTGATGACGTACCTATTCAGTTTCGTAGATCTCCTGCTCCTAGTCATTATTCGTTGGTTCCTACTACCCCTTCTACCAACCCTCAAGCTCATAACCTCCAAGAATAATCATAATCATAACAATAATAACGTGCTCACGCACGAGCAATTAAGGCAGCGGCAAAGGTGTCGAGCTCCTGAGCTCCAAACATGTGATGTTGGACAAAGCAATCCAACACCAGTTGCTTCAGGACATCTCTGCTTCATTCATGCTAAGCCCAGGGTCATAACCGACGCCAACATACATCTTCCACTTCTTGTACTTCCTAGGCTCCAAGCTCAAGTTTTCCGAACAGCATGCAGGCTCTCGGACCTGCAGTGGTCAACTGGCAATTCGTGGCAAGGGGCGTATCCCATGGCTCATCTGGGTTGAACTTGAGGAGCCTAAGTTCAAGGACTCTTCTCCATTGGGAGAATGGAGCACTCGTTGTCTAGAGCCTAGGGGGCCTGGGGGGGCCTCGCGTATTCGCAGCAATACCGTATTTCATTGAACGGGCCTTTTCCTTGCCCTTCCAGATCCAGCCTGTTCGTGCGCCGTGGTGGAGAGCAGGGTGTCGAGCAATGTGTGGAGAGCGGTAGCAAAGGAAACCGATCTTCGGAGGCTCGCGCTAGAATTCTGCAAAGGAGTTGATTACAATGGTTCTGTTTTGAAACTCGCATGTGCAGCGGTTATGAAGACCATCTGAAAGCTGTTTCAACCAACTAGCAAAGAACTGGAAGTACAGCTGCCTCCAGCCATCCTACCACAGTATGCGCGTGAATGCACCAGTGACCTTCAGACCTTCAGTATCACGAGGTGGTTCGGTGCAGCTGTGAGGCAGGTAGATCTGAGCAGGCGTTATCTCAAAGATCGTTTTCCTTGGTCATGCCACATGAATGGCTGCCAGTGTTCGCCACGTTGTCACTTGCGGTGAACATCATGCAAGCTTCCCATAGACCTCGGCCAAATACACGCCGTGCTTGCTGTGGTAAGCCCCTGCTGCTCCAATCTCAGTTGTCCAGGAAGCACCGATACCCCAGATAATTTCGACTTCCTGAGAGGACTTGTGTTGTAAGGCAGCATGGCTTGAGATGAAGCTCTCCGAATTCTGACAGTTCGGTATTTGGGTATACGTGGGTATTTGGCGCCTTGGAGAAGGTCAGGCCGCCGTAGAGGAGAGCATCTCCGAATGAAACGATGGAGCCGCCGGCTTCGTCGGTCTGCGCATGTGCAAGCAGAAATTGCAAAATTGATGCTTTGTTTGCAAGAAACTCAAAGAAACGCAGCCAGTGCCAAGAGAATGGCCTGCAAACGCATGCGCCTCGTTCGCGCTGCGCTCACGAAGCATGTTCGATGACTTTAGCTGCATGCAACGTCTGAATCCGCCACATCCCCCATCCAACGTCGTCCATCATCATGGCAACTCGTGAAAGTGGGCCGCGCCTTGGTCAAGTACCACTGCGTCCTGTGGTCTTTGCTCGAGTACCTCAGTCCATATCGCACTGCACTTCATTGCAAAGCTTGCCAAACACCCACGGCTGCCAAGCTGCAGAACCAGATCTCCTTCGAACTCCTTGTTTCGTCCGCAATGCACTGGGCGCTTCAACAAGTCTGCTCTCTAGATCTATACCAAACCATATAATCCAAAACCAAATATCTTTTTAAAAAATGATATGTGAAGAAATACAAAATATGCAATACCATGTGTTGTTCCCCACCCTCGGTGTGGGGTTGCTAGATTTTAAACTCAACTCTTCTCCTCGCCCGAACTACTCCTCACTCATCGGAGTGCCCAACCTCAAGGTATCCTTGGAGTGTCCGCCCAGAGTCTCCCTGAAGTGCTCAACCCCAGATTGTCCCCCGGAGTGCCAGGCCCAGAGTCTCCCTGAAGTGTCCAACCCAGAGTCTCCCTAGTGCCCACTGCAGAGCGTCCCCGGAGTCTCCGGTGCCCAACCCCAATCTCCCTCGAGTGCCCAACCCCAGAGTGTCCCAGTGCCAGTCTCCCCAGAGTGCCCAACCCCAGAGTCTCAGAGTGTCCCCGGAGCGCCCAGCCCCAGAGTCTCCCTTCAGTGCCGAACCCCAGAGTCTCCCTGGAGTGCCCCAAGCCCAGAGTGTCCCCGGAGTGCCCAGCCCCAGAGTATTGCTGGAGTGCCCAACCCTAGAGTATCTCTATCAAGAGAGGGTGGGGATGTTCGAAGTAAAATAATGTTTTGTGCATTTTTTATGTATACCATCCAAGAAGCTAGCCTGGATTGACGCAAATTTGGACACACCGCACACCTCTGGAAACTCTCCAAATTTTGGACCAAAGCTCTGGAGGGTCGGGTCCCACGGCCTGGATCTTGAGGCCACCCCTGGGAAGTCAGCTCGCACTAAACATAACCGAAATGGAGACGAGCCGAGGGCCAAGACATGATCGTGCTGACAATGTGATGCGCAAACTGAGTCACCGCCCTGTGCTTAATGTATTCAACAGATGTATTCAACACCCCCAGTGAACCGGCAACAGCTGTTGGAATACACACTCTCAGAAATCAATGCAGGCCTGAAAACCTATGTGCACGCGGAAACAACAGCTTCACGCATCACGTTTCAGCCTTTGCTCGCTAGTTTGGCATGCCTGGCAATCGGAAGCCTGCGCAGTACTTTTCCAGTATCTTAAGCGATCTCAGTAGCAAAGCACGCTACACCGACCCTATAGCTAGATGTGTGTGTGTGTGTGTGTTTTTCCGATATGGTCTTATCCCAAAAAGCATGCCTCAATTTGAAAGATCCCCAACAGGCGAATACGCTCATGCTTTCTCTACTTGCAATGCATGTGAAAGCACGGCAGACATCTAAGTAACTATGTAGTAATGTAATTGCTGTAATCAACAAGCCCCAACAAAGACCACCAGCCAGCAGTCGCAAACAAATTGTTGTCCCAGAAGAACGCCCAGGTTCCTCTGAAACCGCGGTGGTTCCTTTTGTGGCCGATTACTGAGTGGCTCCAACTGTTTCTGCCCTGGAACTACACTCGTAATCTGCTGCGAACTGCGAGTGGTCGAGTCATCTCGGAGCATACAAAGCAGCAAGCAGATCTGTGCTCTTGTACTGAGTTCTGCGCAGGTCTTCGTCAATGTCATTCTCAGCACGTGACAAAACATGCAACTGTCAATTGCAAGCAGGCTTCACATGCGGGTTCAAACTCTGATGCCAAGGTGCCGGAAAGTCTACACAATCAAAGTTGCCGCTCTCAAACAAGTTGTCCTCGTAGCCGCTCGTATCCTCGTCCTCATCGTAAAACTCCACCTGAGCCGAAGCATTCCGCACGTTACTGGGCCGTCTGCCAGCAAGCTGGACAATCTCCGAACAAATGCAAAGCTGTACTTGTCGCACATTCGTATATGATCGCAAAGTGACAGGGCGACTTCTGGCTATGCTACTATTGCCTCGATTTGGAGCACTCTCACAAGTGACTGACGGCCGACCGAGGCCATCCAGGAGCTAACCGATGGCTAGACGCGGCACAGTGGCTGTTCGACCGAACGTGGAGAAGGCTTGACGAAGAAGAGCATCAGCCAGAAAACGGCCCTCGACTCTGTGCTTAGCTCTCAGCAGAGTGGCAAGCCGGCAATGGCCGGTCGCGCGTGCAGACCTCCACTCATCAGCCTGGGAGCCATCAACGTCTCAGGTTTAGGCTGGCCTGGCTTGCTTACAGGGCATCCTGAAGAACTCTAGACAACTCCAGACTCTGGCCTCTGCCACGATTGACTCTAACCCTATCCCTGGTCTCTGACGCGGAGCGCCAGACTTCTTCCTTCCTCTAGTCCGAAGCCACTGAAGCCACTGAAACCTGTTGTACATGGTTCACCCGGGCATGCACCATATTCTTTACCATGCTCTGCCAAGAAGCAGAAGTGCCCCATCGTCTCCGACCCCATCCACGCCACTCTTGGCCAAGAACGCTATTTGTTGATCTGTGAGTCTGGGTGCCTCCCCTGCAGCGCCCTTAGATCACCAGCAGAGCGTAGTCGATCTTGGAACTGCGGGCACGCTGAGCCCACCAACTTGCTGATCTGAATCGCTCCGGAAAACTGTGCCACTTTGTAATCCCTGAGTGAACCATAGTGAACCATCGGGCCTTCAAAGCACTGCAAGGCTTCAAACTTGGCCTCTGACATATGGTAGCCCTGCGAGAAGTGTGTGGGAAACCGTCAGGACTTTGCGCCCCGAGACTTACCAGAACTTGCTGTGAATGACATTCCCATGCGGCGTTCGGTGGCCGCTGTGCTCATGCAGATGTTAAGGGACGGGGGGTCCAACAGGGGGAGAGGTTTCTGAGTGGATCCAAAAAGCCTTGGCAAGCACTCGCTAAGCACTCGGACCTCGACAGTTGCTCGAAAGAGATGTTGTTGGAGCGCTTGCTGAGGGCTTTCTAAGCAATCTCTTCCCGAGCGATGTAGGTTTGCTTTGGAGCGAAGAGCGAATGCTGCAAATTACAGGCGATGTAACCGCCCTCCAACGGCCTGCTAACGTGGTGTACAAAACAAGAATCATGCAGCAAGGCAAGGCGCTGTCGCGAAAGAGTGTGACCTCATGGCATCGCTGAGCAAAGCAAGTGACGTTTAGAAGCATGCCAGCATGAGAACAAACTTGTCGCATGGCAGTCTCCCTCGCGAGTACTGAGCCGACGACAGTACATTCCAATGGATCTTGGCAGAAGGGTTTGCGGGTCTTTGCAGCCAAAGCCCCTCATTAGCACTAGCACTTTGAGATCTGCTCTAAAAGTGCTGCTGCCCAGGTGCTCGGTTGTGGACTCGTCTCCCTGATGCCAAGATATTCACCACGGTGGCTTCTCAGGTAGACCATGCCACCCCCCGCATCCAGGACCTTCAAAACGATAGGGCTGTTTAGGATCTAGTGCCCGGCTGACAACCCAACTCCTCAGCAACAAGCAGGCTCAAGTGTGCTCTGCCGCGTTTAGTCCAGCCGCGATCAGCGATCTCATGGTGGGACACGATATCAAAACCCAATCTTCAAAAACTATGTTCCTGTGTGGGTCAGACAAAAGGGACGATGATGGGGCTCCGGGTTTAATTATGCCAAGACATGGTCTGCGGGCTGTACTTTGGTGTTGGGTGGGTATTCGGCTGTTTCACGAGGTGACGAAACACAAGTCACGCGTTTCAGGCCGCGGGACGAAGACCGACCGTGGGACGAAGACCGACTGTGTACCCAAGCGCGATCGAGGGCGCAGTGCAGAACAGCCTCTAGGGACCCAGTCGCTTCGGCCAGACAATGCTCCAGCTACAGTAAGTTTAGGACACGCGATTTTGAACTTGCCACATGCCGAAAACACTGTGAACACCGATGCTTTCGATGCTTCGCACGATGGATGCGCGGGTCCTAAATTCGACAACCCTTCCAGGGCGTCGCGTCGAGCAAAGCGGCTTCCAAGCACTACAACAGAGGTCTCTCACTCCGACACAGCCAAGTCACGTGGAACTTCTCCCAACCCCGGTTGTTGCTTGTTACTCTAGGATTCCCTTTGTTGTCCTGGATGTAGCGCCCTCAGATCCGGCAGATGAAGCCAATCGGAATCCACCTTGCCTTGCCCTGCGCAAATCTCACACATCTGCTCACAATACAGGCAGGTCACCCCCAGAGTTCCTGATCCAAACGCGGGCATCACTGCCAATCACGCCAATTCCACCGTCCGCGGATTTGAGCGAGAAAGTCGTTCCACCCTGCCAGAACACGCAGCAGCAAACTGGGGGATACAGGAAGGTTTACCCCGTCTGACAAAACGTACGACGGACGTACTTGGCAACAGTCCTATCACGCGCCAGGCAACTGCACATCCTTTTGGGGCCTTTGGGGTTTAGGAGGCTCTTGGGGGTCTTTGGTGGCCACGAAAAGAGCAAAGCCGAAGAAGGTTTTGATAGTTAGACCCAGGGGCATCACCAGGCCGGGCAAATTTGTAGCTCCAACCATCCATTCGGAGAACCTTACCCCTTGCCGCGACAGGACTCATGTACATGTTGACGTCCTGAGATCAACACAAAGTCACAACCGCACGGCAACTCTCCAACTCACATGGTTCCAACTTCACTTAGGCATGTTGAGTGTAACGATGCTTGAGGTTGCAATGGCACCACCCAGATGGATGCTGCAATTCTTCTTCAGTACTTATCTTCACTGCTCTTACACAGTATCCGCTGAGGAGCTGTATCGATGCCCATGGCACTTGTGTCATCATAGACTAAAAGGCCCCCGAGCTCCATTTGGACCTGTCCGAGGGTTGCACTGCAGTGAAGAGAGAATGGCAGATCGGTGAGACCTTGGGAAAGGGGAACATAATCTGGCGGCCACTGCAGTATGCTTCCAACTTCACAATGTCACCAGCTCCGGCCCGTCCAGTCCTGGGTGTTTTGTTCTTTCGAAACACGACACAGGCAGCATAGCAGTACTATAGCAGTCTGCAGTGGCTGCAGAAGCTGAGCACCGGTCTGGCAAGCACCCCAATTGGTAACAGTTGGATTCCACAAGTTGCAGTACTGCACCTGAGCCGGAACTTGCCCGACGCTGAGCAACCCCCAGATCGAATACGAAAAAGCATCGCTTTGCGACCAGATTGGAAAAGCACAGGAACTACCAAGGCGCCAAGAATTGCAACTTGGCTTTTCCGACTTCAACCTCAATATCCTCAGGGCAGAGCAGCTGCACGGGAAACTTATCAGCGAGTCCTGACGCTGAATGACACATTGGGTCACATTGAGATAATCGTATCAAAACTGCCGTCTACCAAGTGAAAAATCTCAAGGTGCGATGATGCTCGGTTCATATGCGCTCTCTGCATTTGTTCCACGATAGCCAACGAACTCGGTATTAAATAATGAATCAATATCTCGAGAACATTCCTTTGAACACCAAGGTGCAATCTTCTCCGGAGTGACCCATGCCTTGTACTTCCAGAAAGGGTTGTCATCATCATCCAAGCGGCGTGCCTTGCGAAGTGATTAAACGCTCTCTGTTCCCCAGCCTCACTGTTGTGGTAACTTGTCGGTGCAGAATCTTCTCTGCTGCAGCTTTCTTAGGAAAGCCAAGGCATGCCCTCTCAGATTGTGCTGAGCTGTGAAACATGTCCACGGGCAAAAGGATTGGGCGGCAAGTTGGGTGGGGCAAGTTGGGTGGGGAGCGTGCAGTGCAGCTCCGTATGCAGTGGATCGCCGCATCTGGACGGAGAATATATTCTGGATATAGTCGGCAAACCCAACCGATGGAGTGAGAAAAGTGGATTGCTGAAGAGGGGCAGCGAGACGACGCATTGGGTGGTCAGGATGATGAGGCTTCAGATCATCGTCGTCAATCCTGGACAACATATGGGGTGCTCTGTACTCTGCGCATCGACCTTTTGTTGACATGTTACCTGTTATCAGTTGTGATTTCGACAAAACCATGCACTTGATTTGGTAGCTAGTCTTGCCTCTTACTGAGCAAGAGTGCAGCGATGGGTGCCGTGGCTGCCCCAGCATGGTCAACTGGCAACAATTAAAGGCCCGTGGCTAGGTTTCCAGCAGTACAGCTTCCTTCGCCTGGGGTTAGTGTGTTTAAGCATTGCAAAGGCTAACGGCAAAGGTGTTGAGAAGCCTGAGCTGTATCAAAATGTATGGAAGTTGCAGCCAAGCAACTCAACGAAATAGCTTCCATCGTCCCCGATCGGCGTGCGACGTCCGAGGCGACGTGCCAACAAGCGGCGACCTGACCCATCCAGCATGCATCACTGAGGAAAACTTTGAGCACCCCTGAACAGCCAAGGCACCATCTGTGGACAGCCGTCGACCCCCGCTCGGGTAGTTGCTCATGTTTGGCTCAAAGGTCATGTTGTCCGAAACGTTGTAGGTCTTGGTAAATCTTGCAGTCTTGCTGCAGCCAAATGAACAAAAAAAAAAGCCTTTGAAGGACGGAGCTGTTCGTTCACCGTGAAAGAATACATCCCTTGTGGATTTGACGATTGATTTCCTATGCTGTCAACTGCAGTGCTCTGCTGGCAGGCCACGTCGGCAAACTGATCATAGAACCGATGGCTGTCAAGTTCCACCTGCGACATCGGCATCTGCTGCATGCTGCAACGACGGATTTCGTACTTTCGACTTTCCTTAAAGCAACGTCACCCCTGCCATCCCGAGTCGAGCCAATGCACTTTCCTGGAACAACCCGTGAAGCCCTGCTAACATCGCCCCTCTGCGGTGAGCGTCACAGAGGCACCTGGTTCTCCCGCAGCGTAAAGATCGCGTCCCAGTACTTGCTGGTCCTGTTGGAACATTCGGCTTCCATAGGCGTCAGGAATCCACTGCTCATTCAAATTGATCGACACATGCTGGGAGTAGAACTAAAGACGAGAATGCCTTGGTTCCATGATGGTGTTTTCGGGTGCTCTGGACCAGCGTGAGTTCATTCATTGACAAGCCTGCCAAAAACGTCGCCCTGGTCCTTGCCAGCGCTAAAGCACCATTTTTCAGCTGACCAGCGGAAGCTCGCCTGAGAAACACCAAGAAAGGTGCAAAAAGATCATGAAGACAACTCATTCTGCAGATTTTGTGCTTCCACTTTTGGCTTCGATCTTGCAGTTGACCAGGACACTAGTAGCTCGAAGGCATCAAGGCGGGTAGCAAGGCCACATAAGACTGACACGCGCACTCGCTTCGCAGGCGCAGTTCTGGGTGGCTAGCGGCGGCTAGCGCCATTGACAGCCAGGCTGAGAATAGCTTAAAGAGCCTTCAAGTAGCGTGCTCTTCACACTTTTCAGATGCTGTTCTGTCAAGCTGCTTCTTCAACTCATCAAAGTTCCAGGCAACGGTGGTGGGGTACTCAGACCACGGGTTGATCTCCTCGCGGAACAAGCTAGCGATGACTTGGTATTCAAGACAAAACTGCAATTAAAACAAAACAAAAGTCCCAGAACTCAACGATAGCCCCCGTTCAACTAGAAAAGCCAAGCTCCCAGAAAGAAAGACTGTGGCTCAAGAGACCTGTCCAAACTGATTTAGAAGCTCGTTTTTTCAGCATGCTTTGCTGCTTTCGGCTGTTCTGACTGCAAGAGGGCAGCTGACCGCTTGGAGACAACTCAGGCCAGGGTTCCAGGTGCTGAGGCTTTGGGCTTTAGGGGTGCGGGCTTGAGGGTTAAAGAGAGGCTAGCCCTTTTGAAAACAGGCCCTTCTAAACATCGCGAATTGCAAATCCCCTCAGTCTGGACGCCGCAGCGAACCCATCCAACGGCACAAAATGCAGGATTCCATGCGTCTGCCACGTTTTCAGGACGCTTAGTCATGCAACGTCGGAGAGCACGATTGCCACCAGAAACACCACGAAATGCGCAAGGGGTGGCCTAGGCGAGAGCGCGATTCGACAACACTAAAAGACGTCGGGGACATCACCCGCGATGGGGAAAAAGCGCGATTCAAGCGAACATGGGACCACCGCTCGAGGAATAGCGTCCGCGCACCCACGCGCGCTTCGCGAGCGTCGCGTGCGCAACTCAATCTAACCCGCCTTTACCCCGACCGTGAGAACCCCATAGTGTTGACACATTGCTACAGCCCCTTTAACCTCTGCAATTATATGTTCGCCCCCCTGCCGGAGAGATTGAATCAATCAAGAGGGGGGTTTAGCAATGGAAAGCGAACATAACCCAAGTACATTCTTCGGGCAAGTGCATTCATGCAAAAGTTTCGACATTGCTTTGCCCATGCGGGACTAGTCAGCGAATTGTGCGTGCTGCATTGAACACTGCATACCAACAGACACTTCTGGGAAGCTGCTTGACACTGCGCTGCTTCTCGGCTCATGTTGAACCAAAATCATCAAGCTTGGCAGCGTACATGGTGGCTACACGCATAAGTAGCTACACATTGATGAAAAGAGGCCTGTCAATTCAGAATGGTAGATTTCGTGCGAAAAGGCGCAAGGGTCTTAAAGTACACAGGCAATGTACAACGTCAAAGCAAAAACCTGCTGTCTCGAGCTCCAAGGGTTTTGCGTAGTCAGAAGGCATTGCGAGTGATCACCAGACCCATGGACAACCCCCAAATCTGCTCTGTGGCACACAATCTTGGAGCAAGGGGTCCGGCGGCGGCTTGAAGTCTGCGCTTGTGGATGAGCGATTGGTCCGATTCAGCATCTGGACCTGACGGGCCAAAAGCAGATGCATGGGCAGAACCTGCACTATGCCCGACTTTCCCAGCCTCTTCGACAAGCATTGCCGCTGCCATGCTCACGTTGCTGGTGTTGGAGATGTTTCTCTCCTTCTGCAACTCCCTGGAGTATGCGCACCCCTTAGACGAGCGCACCAATAACAAGGAAACAAGTATTGGCCGGCAGCCAATAGCCAACCTAAGCCATGACGTGAAGCAGGCTATTCTGGGCATGGAATTCAAGTCTGTAATTTCGAAGGCTGCGAGGGCATACGAGCATGTGCTGCCCTTCAGCGTCACATCTGAATCTGCAGGTAGGGTTCACCGTCCAGCATTGACACGTTGAAGTAGTCGAACATCCTTGGCAAGTTGTCACGGACCATCACCGAATGCCGGCGTCTGCAACCCTTAATTCCCTCAAAACAGTGTGATGGTGCATGGTGCCACCCAACAAGGTCTCACGACGTACTGACGTGTTCCCAATCTTTCTTTGCTTGCGGATGCTACCGGCCTGGATGGCACCACGAGCCATCTTTGGAGACTCACTCCAATGGCATTGCTTGCATGCGCTTGCCTGATTTCACTCCTGCCACCCGTTGACGGCTCCACACCCAGCGCAAGCACACTGCCAGCCTTCATTCGTTCAGTCCGCCGAGGTTTTGGGCCGAAGGTGTATAGGTTGTGAGAACAGGCACGCCCCTCCAAATCCTCCCCCCAAACCCAAAGCCCTTTTACGGACCCCTGTTTTTGCCTCAAATGGGTACCCCCTAACAAACCAGGGTCCGCAAGCGGACGGTTCAGGACCAGAGGCAGTTGAAGCCCCCCCCCCCCCCCCCCCCCCCCCCCCCCCCCCCCCCCCCCCCCCCCCCCCCCCTTCCTCCGACGCGCTGGCTTGAGGGCCCGAGGCTCAACTGGTGTGAGCACGGCCGGGGATGCACTAAGTGACACGAGATGAAGAGTCTAAGCTTGAAGCTTGAACTCGAAGCTCCAAACCCCTAAACCCTAGACCCTCAACCTTAAGCCCTAAGCACTCAACCCTCAAACCCTCAACCCTCAACCCTAATCCCTAGACCCTCAACCCTAAACCCAGCTCTGCCACGCCATGCTAGGGTGCTGCAGATGCCGCGAGCATGCGCCGGGCGCGCTGGGTCAGGCCGAGGCGGGTCGCGTAGCGTTAAAATTATTCTTGTCCTTAACAAAGGCGGGAGTCTAGCCAGGAGCTTGAACTAGCAAACACCAGGTGCTCGAGCAGATTCCAGAATTGGACACAGTTTTTTGCCGGAAAGGCTCTCGATAATGAATTTACCATCCCCCTTTCAAGAAAGCGTTGAAACATTATTGAGACACTCGAGTCACTCGAGAAAGCATGGGAAAGAGAGCCGCACAAGGCGAGATTGGCCAAGCCAAGGCGGGACACTATTCTTCATGTCTCGACAAGCAGAGTTAAACTTTTAAACGTTCTTCAGAGCCACAGGCTGCTGTGCCCCGCAACCTGTGTGCTTGTCAAGTTTCCCTGCAATCTCGAAGGCGGAAGGCAGGGAGACAATCTCAACATACCTTGCGGACCGCCGCGGGGCTACTCCATCTTCTGAAGAGCTTGCACATGCAAACTCTTTGTGGGCAAGTCAGGATGGTGGCGATAAGCATCTCGCAGCGGAAAATGCCGAGTGAGACCGCAAAGAATCTGCTGCTTGCAAGCCCAAGAAGCTGCTTCGTCGTGTCAACCTTTGAACCCTTCACCTCATGCGCGTTGGGCGCAGAGATTTCTTGTCGCGTGTCAGAACTGCTGGATGCACAGGGAGGCCTCGTTATCATGTTGGTAGTCTTGCTGCGCCTGTCTTGCTGCGCCTTTGCACATCCTTTGCACTACATACTCGTAAATGGGAATTGCTGTTGCAGGTACGAATATCAGCTTTATTCAGTGACGTGCTCGTCCCACCCGCGCTTTGATATCTCCGGCCAGGAACAGACTCAAGCATGTCCAGGAAACCAGAAGCCAGCGCTGTGGTTTCTTGTAGACTGAACGATCCGGGAATTATTCCGACAAGTAGCGGTTGAGTACATTCGGACGCGGAAGGGTTGGCCAGACTCCTTGGTGCAGCAATTCTGTCAGCTTAGATAAACGCGCTGAATCTGAAGCCAAAGGACGAACTTTCCTGAAGGATCTGTGTCCACATCGAAGTAGTCAATCACATTGGGGATCAATCCAGCTTCCAGCATGGCGACTTGCATCTCATGCGCCTGGGACTCCCGTGACCGACCGATTAGAAGCCAATCTAGCACTACGTATTCCAAACTTGGTGTCTAATGTTGGGACACTGCGACAAAGCGGTTTCCAAAGTGCGAACTCCGGGTACTGTCACAATAAGCTATTCACACCAAGAACTCCTGAGATACGGTTATCTAGGAGTATCTGCATCAATTGGCGTCCATATTTCCTTCACGCTCCAGATCTCCCATCGGATCCATCCTAGCAGTCGTCATGGGTGTACATTGGCTTGACATTGCATGATTCGATACCTAAAACGACTGACTGCCACAGAAAGACAGAGGCAGCAGAGTGCTCATCCAGCTGAAACTGAAGGAGTCATGGCTTTCCCAAGCCAACACTAGTCAACGGCTGCTGTCCTCCAATGGCGCAGCACTGTGCCATTCTCCACGACCACGCCGCGGAACTCCAGGCTCGGCATGGCATTCTCGGCAGCTGCAGCGATCCTCAGCGTGTCACAAGGCAGGATCAGTATGCACGCTGCAGGAACCAAATCGTTGAGGCAAGGTGCGTTGATTTCTGCGGAGACTCCACAAGACAGCGATAGCCGACTTTGCCCACGGCCTCAATCTTGGCCTGCAAAGAGCAAAGGTAGCAAGGGTTAGCAGCTCCGATTCCCACTCAAGCCGCAGCCTTGCGTCGAGTGGAATCAATACCACAGATGCTTCACATACACTGGGTGAGCGAGCGTTAAGTGTGTGCACCTGTAGATCAAGACCCCCCAGCTTCGAATCCAAGAAGACTGGATAGCGGACGAAAGCTAGTCCCCCCCAAGATGGCCTTGCACGTCGTGGGCTGAGGGGCGGGTGGGGGGGGGAAAAGGGAAAGGGACCCCCTCCCAATCCAAAAACCGCCCCCCCACCATGCAAGGCATCGCCTCATGGCTGACACCAGAAAGGGGGTGGGAGGCCCCCCCACCTTCTTTCCCTGAAAGATCCCCTCAAGTCTTGTCCCCAAACAGGAATTGCAAACAAAAACTCCCGAAGTTCCAAAGGAACCTTGCTCTTGTGTCTGCAGTCTGCCTATGATGGTTTGCTGGCTCCGAGCCTGCATCTCATTCTCCCCACTCCTTTTCAGCCGCAGCCTTAGGCGAATTCACACAGCTTCTGCCATGCCTTTCACTGGCGTAGACGACATCTGAAGCAGCACCCGTTTGAGGACATGCACTACGCACAGTCAGATCCAGAACACAAGCTGCACGTGAGGCCGCAGCTCGCGCTGGAATGGGTGCATAGCAAAGTGACCTGAACACATCAGGCTGGCGTTCAGTTGTCCTTTTCCTTTCACGTGCATGCTACAACTCTCGCAAGCTGAACGATACCAGCACCCTAGAATCCGTGGGCCTAGCTGATGCTACTGGAAGGCGAGTTGAAGGCGAGTTGCTCATGTATGCTGTGAGAGAGGCGGACTTCACCAGCTCTTCCGTCCTACAGAGGAAAGCTGACACCAATGTGTCTTGTTTACCCTAAGCTTTTTGCACCCTCTGCGCCAAAGAAACCTCTGCTTCATCCGTTCCATGGCATGCGGAGGGGAGAGCTTGCATTTAAGGCAGTTAATGCAAAGGGGTCCAGGTCTTGTAGACCTTGCCGTCTTCCACAATCACTCCTGGCACTGTGAGAAAGTTACCTTCCTTGGCACAAAACATGCGAGGCTTCTCGTTGGATTCTGTTGGAATCTGCGCCCAGGAATGCAACGCCCGCGCCCTCTGGAAGCTTTACTAAGGAAGTGGCTTCATCAGTGAAGTACTGCGAGTACCCCTCAGTTCATGCCGACTCATGCTGCAACCTCCCAACCATTGGTCAGCTGGATCATCAAGTGCATATGACCCAAACTCATTGTCAGCTCTGCACAATCCACATACAGAACACGACTAACGACGCATATCCGCCGACCCCCGCTGGGCGGCGGCAGTCTCTTATGCCTTGCCTTTCAAGGTGGCTTTGCACACAACTCCAATGGAGGCCATTCTCCTCGCCCGTTTATCGTTGCAGGAGGCTTGTGATGCCACCCTGCGCATGCCCTCACAACTCTCATCACCCCCCTCGCTCTTCCCGCTCTCCGTGCCCATCGCCCTTGTTTATGCTAACGGCGCGGTTAGCGACCCCTGCCGAATGTGCGTGTTTTGGGTTTCGGGTTTAGGGATGCTACTTGGGAGGGGGGGGGGGAGGAGGGGAGGGGGGGGGGGGGAGGGGAGGGGGGGGGGAAGAGGGGGGGGAGCAGGGGGTGGGAGGAGGGAGGGGGACTGCGTGCAGAGAAAGTGATAAGGTCTCTGCTTCACGGATTGCCCATACCTGTAGGAGGATCCAAAAAGTACAACCCCCAAATAGTACCCTATACTACTTTGGGGTCATTCTTCATACCCTGAATCTACTTGTTTCATCCTTCCAGGGGTCTGGGTAGGGTTTCGGGGTCCCGGGATCAACCGCTCTGCCCTAAACCCTAAACCCTAAATCTTAAACCCCCTAAACCCTGTTTCGGTTCGTTCGGTTTAAGATTTAGGGTTTCCCTGAAACCGTCCTGCCTATATACCCGTAAATACACAAGACAGTGCATGCCCCAAGCTCTCCTGTATGCAAACCTCAACAATGTCCTGCAAGCCCAAATTCCTCAATTCGAATTTGACTCTCAGCACAATGTGTTTTTTTGGCGGGGTCGTTAACCGCGCCGTAACCTTGTTGATAAGCCTCGGCTTCCCAAAACCGCCCCCGCCTGCAGATAAAACGTATGTAAGTGTAGCTCTCAAGTCTCATGTGGCCGCGCAGCGGGCGCCGCCTGTTGAACCAAGTGGCGCGCTCAGGTTGACCATGCAGATGCTTTACGTGCATCTTCGCCTTGCTGAGACAGTGAGCGAAGCATCAAGAAGAAATTCTTTGACACCAAAATGTCAAGACTGCCATAGAATCAGCTGACATGGCCCCGAGTGCTGAGCAATAGCAGGTGGAAGTGGTGGAAGTGGTGGAAGTGGTGGAAGTGGTGGAAGTGGTGGAAGTGGTGGAAGTGGTGGAAGTGGTGGAAGTGGTGGAAGTGGTGGAAGTGGTGGAAGTGGTGGAAGTGGTGGAAGTGGTGGAAGTGGTGGAAGTGGTGGAAGTGGTGGAAGTGGTGGAAGTGGTGGAAGTGGTGGAAGTGGTGGAAGTGGTGGAAGTGGTGGAAGTGGTGGAAGTGGTGGAAGTGGTGGAAGTGGTGGAAGTGGTGGAAGTGGTGGAAGTGGTGGAAGTGGTGGAAGTGGTGGAAGTGGTGGAAGTGGTGGAAGTGGTGGAAGTGGTGGAAGTGGTGGAAGTGGTGGATGTGGTGGAAGTGGTGGAAGTGGCGGAAGTGGCGGAAGTGGCGGAAGTGGCGGAAGTGGCGGAAGTGGTGGAAGTGGTGGAAGTGGTGGAAGTGGTGGAAGTGGTGGAAGTGGTGGAAGTGGTGGAAGTGGTGGAAGTGGTGGAAGTGGTGGAAGTGGTGGAAGCGGTGGAAGTGGTGGAAGTGGTGGAAGTGGTGGAAGTGGTGGAAGTGGTGGAAGTGGTGGAAGTGGTGGAAGTGGTGGAAGTGGTGGAAGTGGTGGAAGTGGTGGAAGTGGTGGAAGTGGTGGAAGTGGTGGAAGTGGTGGAAGTGGTGGAAGTGGTGGAAGTGGTGGAAGTGGTGGAAGTGGTGGAAGTGGTGGAAGTGGTGGAAGTGGTGGAAGTGGTGGAAGTGGTGGAAGTGGTGGAAGTGGTGGAAGTGGTGGAAGTGGTGGAAGTGGTGGAAGTGGTGGAAGTGGTGGAAGTGGTGGAAGTGGCGGAAGTGGTGGAAGTGGTGGAAGTGGTGGAAGTGGTGGAAGTGGTGGAAGTGGTGGAAGTGGTGGAAGTGGTGGAAGTGGTGGAAGTGGTGGAAGTGGTGGACGTGGTGGAAGTGGTAGAAGGGCAATGGGAGAAGTGGGGGAAGTGGTGATGGTGGTGGGGGAAGTGGGCAAGTGGTGATCATGATACTGATGATGATACTGATGATGATGATGATGTTGTTGATGATGATGATGACGACGCTGATGATATTCACAGAATGACATTTTCGTTACTACTGCCGTACTATGAGAACGAACATTACGAGGATTGTGGCTGTGACGCTCTGTGGCGACGAGCGTGCTATGTTAAGAAGCCTCCCTGAAGAACGAGATGTACAGCCACGCAATCTTGCGAGGGCGGTGCGAGAACAAAACTGCGAAACGCGAAGGGCCAAGATCCCTCGTGGAGCCTCCTGGACCTTCACTAGCAGACATACCCCCGGAATTTCAAGGTCTGGGGCCTTTACTTCTTTCGAGGTTGTTATCATTATCGCGGAATGCTATCACGTGTGTTTCTTTCGCTTCTAGCTTTCGTTTTTCTTCCCTTCCTGTGGGGAGTATACATATCACAAGTTTCTGGAGAGGAAAAGCTACACACATACTTTACGTGGCAAGGGTCATAGTAGAACTGAGGCATGTCGTTCGGATTTGGCAGATCGACGGACTCGCAGGCCCACTCAATGTCTTCAAGCCTTGGAGGTAAAGCGAGACAGGATGCGGAGAAGTTAGCTGCAACAATTTCGTCAGAATGATGCTGCCGGAGATCATATTGAAAAAGCCTTCGAGAAGGCCATCGGTTGAGCTGAGCCTTCTTCCGAACCCAGAGATGGGACCGTCCTGCGAACCCAGAGGCAGACAGGCTGACACGACTCTCCCATGCCTCCTCTGCTCCGCGGTCCTCGAAGAGACCCTCCATACCTGCATCTTTGACGTAGGCCTCACAAGTTGAGTGACTGAAACTGGCTGGAGACACCGCTTCGAATGCAGCAGACTGTTCAGTATGTCAACACAACAACTGTCCTCCATAGCCGGGTCGGCCGTCATGTCCTGTCGGGTCGACACACAAGGGCAGCTCCAGACTGTGGTATCGGCGGTCAGCCTCTCTGGGTCTGCTTCTGAGTCTGCATCTCTGCGCTTGTGGCATCTTGTGTCATCATTTGGTGACTCTTGACTAAGCCCTTGACATAATCATCCAAAGTCAGACGGCCATGATCGCCATTCAGATGAATGACCGATCCGCACTTGGAAGAACGCAGGGAGAGGCGCTGAAAGCTTGTGATGGTGACCTCAGTACATGTGACAATGTGCCATGAGAAACTTCAGATCAATTTCATTTCTGGACTGCATTTACCTCAGCTTAGCTTCAGACCTTCAAGGCGTGACCCAAGTTGTCTTTCAAGGTCAAAGACTTCCTTGCTTCAGGCCACACAAGAACGATCACCGGCAATCCCTCGTTTCGGTATTCATCATGCTGTAGCTTAAACCAAAGGCACAGCTCTTTGAAGGAGGCATCTGGAAGCGTAGAAGACCTCGCGAATTCTGAGAAAACGTGTTCAGCCGCGAAACAACGCTGCCATCGGAGGAACACAGCTTGGTCCGACACAAGCGTCGGGGCGTCTCGGAATTTGCGACTTGGAGCTTGCTGTCTTTTCCCTGCAGCCGCCGGCATGTTTGGTTCGCCGGGCAGGAAGCCTCAAAGCCAAAGCAGCAAACGGGCAGGCTTCAAACAAAGACTCACACCACAAATAGCAAATCATTACATACTCAAAGCACTGCAGTTCAAGTCGCATTGGCTGAGCCAGCTCCGCGAATGATCAGCGTTCCGTCGGCAGTCATCTCGAAGTCTGAGCTTGCAACCTGTCAGACATCGGAAGCAGCAAAACGTCACCACCACCTACGTTCATCAGCATCATGAGATGTCATGAGCCTTGACGACCATGCCTTGCGAGTTGGCCATGATAGCATCCCCATCACCTCGCATCTCCTGACTCAGAGGGACTCATGAGTCATGAGTTCGGCGAGATTTGCTATGCAAACCGGCTCTCTCTTGCGAGCATTCCACCTTTGAGTGGACACCGGCTGCCGTTTGATGCCGCATGCGGCAAGACATCCTACTCACATGCCGGCCTTCGCCATTTCAGCAGCAGCGTATGATAGAATGAACATGCCAATCATCAGCAAGAGGATGACCATGCTCAATCCTGTGCTTCAGAGCAGGGCCAGCGCTGAGCCAGAGGCACAGCGCATTTAGAAGCGTGTCACCCGGTGTCAAATTTCTTGCTGTCTCAGTTCCAAGGATGATCTTTTTCATCATTCGACCCTCTTGCTGGACCTGTCCATCAACAGCCGACTGCTTCAATTGCAACGGCAGGGACTGCGCAAAGAAAAGCCTTCTTGTAGGCGTGAGCCGCAGCAGACAGCTCGGAAACACCCACCATGCCACTTCCATCAGCGTCCCATTCGCGCATCACTTCCTGCGGACACACATATACAAATAGAAATAATATACATATATATATATATATGTATGTGACTGTATGTATGTGCGTGCGCCCCTTTATGCAAATGTTTACGTCAAGAACAAAACAGGAAAGTAATCAAAAATGAACTTGAGCTGCCGCGTTGAAGATTCAGGGCTGCAAACGTCCTGGATGCACTCAGGGAGGTGCTTGTATGGCATCTCCGATGAATTTTGGGATTTCTCCTTCCTGAAAAGCAGCGACATGCACAACATGAAAGATAGTGCACGTACACATGGACAACGACATGTGATGCCAATACGAACGCTTGAATGCTGTCGGTGCAGCGAGGAAAGATGCCCTTCAATAAATGCAGAGGATGTTGTTGGACGTTGTTTTCATTCACGTTAACTGCCGGTGGCTCGTCAGAATGCAGCTATGTCAGGCCCTCACCAGCCCACTACACAAGCCTGCACTGATGAGGTGACGTGCGAAAGCAAACCCATTCACGCGGAATGCCCAACAAGCGGGAAAGCTGCAGGCGGGTGGCATCAGCTTAGTCAGGAGCGCAACTCCATCCTCCATTTCCTGTCATGGCCACCCACACAACGACGACGTTTTGCAACAAACATCATCTATCAAGTCATGTAGGGGTCGGGGATGGGAGGCGGATGGAGGGTGGCAGCACAGGACTGTAAGGCTTTTCCAGCAGGGCGTCTGCATTGCTGACATGCCCACTTCCATCCGTGTCCAGGCCATTCTTCAAATGCTTCAGGCACCTGGGCTGAAGATGGGGACTCCAAGACGGGAAGAGATTCCTGACTAACCTGAACCGTAAGCGAACTGACTCCTGGCATCCCCGAAATGCCGAGACGGGTGGCAAACTCGAAGCCCCAGAGGGTGGCAAACCGTCAAACCCGGTAGGGTCACAAGCACACGAGCAAAGACGAAGATCAACATGCCGCCTAAAGGCAGCGTCACAAAGAACAGAAAATGCAGCAAGCACTCTTGCTCTGTGATCGACGGACATTTGAGGTTGAATTGACAGACAAAAGCTGATGGCAACTCTGAGAATTGCGCCTCAGAGAGTCTTCCAGATTCTTTTCGTCAACAATTCCTCTGGAGCAGACATGTGCGTGATCCGCGCACGGATGGCTCTACGATGCTCTACCCCTTCAGTCCAACTTAAGACACTGTTCAACCATTCCTTCTGTCAGCCCGGCAAGCCTTCCAGACTCGATCTCAAGAGTTGAGTTACGCTTAGTTTAGGGAGTCGTCACCGCCAAACGCGACCTGATGTCACTATGCTGCATCTGGAAATCACTCTGGCACTCACGTCGGACACTTCACTTCCAGCCTGTGCTGTCAAGATCGAGCTCGTGGAGAACCTTCTTGACGCCCGTGGGCATTTGCAACGAATCGATCTCAATGAGGGCACCAGTCTCAGTCCTTCCAACATGAAGAGATCTGCTATACTGATATCCCCGATCTGGACTACTGTATGAGAATCTCAGGCATGTGAGAAGCAGTATGGGGCAGTACGGGGGTGAGGGGGTGTCGAGGATCGAGGCCCAGCCCGGCGACCTAGTGTTGGACTCATGAAGTGTCACTGCAGGTCAGTCGCGGCCTCTGGGAAGCTGCCTTGTGGATATGATACTTTGGAAAGCAACTCGTGCCCTATAACCTAAACCCGAGAAACCCCAGACCATAGGACTGAGACCCGAAATCCTAACCCTTACCTGCAGAGCCGCCGATCCTCAGTTTCATCCGTGTTCCATGTTCCGAAACAACAAACGCTTTTTAGAACCCCACAAGGCAACAACTGCTACGTCAGCAAGGTCCTCAGCTTGACCGTGCTCTTGAAAGTCCCTGCTGTCGAGCCCCCTGCTGTCCCTTCTTCCTTAATCTGCCAGGTCAGAGCATGTCAAGGCATGTCCGCCTTTGGCCAGTCTTTTGCTCACAGTCGAACAATTGCACTCCAAGTCTCCAAGGGCGCATCACCATCGTTGGCCGGAACAGGAGGCATTGGCATCCCTCCGGGGTAGCTGGCCCGAAGCAAAGCAAGGAAAAGCTTGGGCCAGATGTTCTCTCCATCTCAAACTGCAAGGTGCCCAAGCTGCCCGTCTGTACTTTGAGTGTGGTCTCAAGCACAAACGTCGCCGTTGAAGCTTGGGCGTGGCGGTGTGAATAAACCCTTTTTGCACCGGACCAGAATACGGAGCACGTAGAGCTGACTTGCAAGACAGACCTCGTGCCCGTGTGGGCTGGGGATGAGCGTGAAATCACCAATGCCCTCTGGTGTAACGGGCGATGTCATCTGACTCTTGACGCTCTCACACTTCAGTAACAGGCTCATTTCGAGAGACAAGAGCATGATTAGGCGATATGGCGAATGTCCAGATTCAAGAGCTCTTTTCTTACATGCACGCACTCTTCTACATGATGCATCACAACCAACAGCATGCAACGATTTCATCTGCTCGGTTCGAAGCACTGCAACGATGTGTGCTCAAGGACGTTTGCACATACTGCGAGGCGATCCCAGTTCAATGCTGTGGATGAGGACAAGGAACCAGATACACTGCCGAAAGACCAAGCACAGCTTGCAACTTTTTACGGATCTGGTGCGCGTGTTACGCTCCCGGCTAGCCGTTTTGGCTAACACCTTGAGACCACGTGTGGCTGTCCCCTATCCAGCTGGATTCCGGATCTATCGACATCAGGTAATGCCGAAATATGCTCGGACCTGGGATGCTCAGACAGATGATAGAGTAGCGTCCAGAGAGGCTGTTTTTGGTCTAATTCGGCATGAACATGATCAAAAAAGAACAGATGAATGGCGGAGTGAACCAAAGCTTCCACTAGGACCTTGAGAACGTGACTTGGCCGCCGTCCGTCAGAACCTCAGAGAGCCAGGCTGGAAACAGGACGGATGTTTATCCCGCCGAGCACCTGTTCACCACTCCATCACACTGCAAACCCCACCCTACGGTCACATCCAACATACAAGCAAACGAACATCATTGAGCACAAAGCAGGTGCGAGTATGCAGCAGACATGTGCTGCAACAGCCGACACAGCAAAGCAACTCTACAGACATGCGCAACTGTATTCAGGTCATAGCGACTATATACTTCCCGCTCGGCTGCTTTCGACTCAGTGTCGCGCAGCTGCATCCAGCGAATTTGCCCACAGCATCCTCCGCGCAAGGCATCGGCAACGATTCGCTGTCAATGCAAGACACTTTGGTAGATGTCTTGGATTGACCAGTGGATCGGATGAAGCACGTACGTCATGCACTTCCAATCCAAGGTCCCCTCAACCCTCCCTGGCTGCCCTCTACCGTCCATGAGCCACCCAAGCGAAGGAGGCAGAAGACCTGAGCGGCGTCAATCAGAAAACAGATGTGGCTGCGAGAATGCTCAAGGGGCACGCCCCGCCTGGCTCTCGAGCGTGGCTTCCAGCAGCAAGACCTCGCTGTGCACGGAGAGCCGGCCTGGGATTCGAGGCTTCCATGGATCTACTCGCTGCGTATATCTAGGAGTGCAAGGGCAGATCCGGGCTGGAGCAGTCATTATCATGGGGCAAGTTCTCAGCATCCAGCAATGGGGCCACTCTTGCGCGACCTGCACTCAATTCCCTACATGCTAAAACGGCATAGGCACAACGAAGACTGCCTGGATATTACGGGAAGGCCGGGCAAGCAAAATTCGTCAACCGCATTGGGATGTCATACAGATCTCATTCTGGGTGGCACGAGAAGAGCACTTCACCGCATATGTTTGATGCTCATGGCCTGTTCCTGGTGCATCTCTTGACGACTCTGGTTGGATTGACCATTCCTAGTACGAAGATTGCTACTACCGGAGCTGAGGATTGTCGATCACATTCCTTGTCGGCGTTTGGCAATCAATGAGCAAGCTGACTGCCCATACCAAGACGTTGTTCACCCAACTCACGGCAATCTCTACAAAGCGAGGCTGAGCTAAGTACGTGCACAAGAACGAAGGAGCACTAGGATTTCAAGCATGTTGGGCACGCTACACAAAGGTCCCTCTCTGCACCCTGCAACGCAGTCAACCCCTCACTGTCGGCCTTGAGCCCTGCTTCAACGTAGGCTTGTTCCAAGAGAAGATTAATTTGCCCCAAGGCCCCCAGAAAGGTCCACCTCATCCAGCTTCGGCGGCAAGATGTCCTCTGATAAGGGCAGAACCGTTCCAATTGAAACCAGTTTGCGATGGACTTCTGGAGCTGGAAAAGCCAACGCTTGAGCAAGACAATGTAGGCCCACATACGACAGGACATCTTTCGACAGTACAAGAGGCCTTCAAGAACACTTCGCATGTCTCTCTGCAGTCTGGGTCCTGCAAGGCTTGAAGCCGTGCCAAGTCAATCCCAAGCCTCGTTGAAAAGGCATCCTTCGACGCCTGCGGGGAGCACCCAACGTGCAGAAGAGCTTAAGAACACATACCATATTGAGGAGTAGACAAGCGCCTCCAATGCCACATGTGCAGGGCTGTAGAAGCAAAGCTGGGTAAATGCCTTGGGCTCGACACATAGCTCAAGGTTCGCAACATCTGACCAGACCCTTCCAGGCACTGTTCCATGCCCACCAGCCGATGAAAGGAGCTGCCAGCTCGTCTCTGAGTGCCAGGCAAATGTCAGCAATGCTTCTCGATGTGCCTACAATCGTTGAAACAATCTCTTACCGAAGCTCCACGACGGAGGAGCGTGGACGAGCTAATCGTGAATGATCTGCAAACCATGTGCTATGAAGAGACTGTCTCAGCTGCGTTAACATGCCCCGGCCTGGGTCTCGGTCAGCTCCCAGTCCCTGGCCCAGTATTGGAACATGTTGGAATATGTTCGAACGTGTTGGAACATGTCTGCCGCTATGTGACGCACGACCTCTGTCTGTTGTCGCAGCAGAATCCGCCGACCCCGGCAAGCTGGCGGCCAGCGCCGGCGAAGGGCTTGTTTCGCTTTCGCAATAAAAGGGCCTTCGGCCTTCGGCCCCTCCCAAACGCCAGAGCTTATTTTTCCTCCTGATTTTGAGCGGTCGAAGCGCCCATTTGAGCACGGCCTTTGTGCGCTCTCCTTCTACCTCCACGCCCACATCCTTGCCCCCCGGAAACCCACCCCATTCTCGTGCCCCTTGACGCCTACTCCTCCCCCCACAAGCCCTTGGTGCCACGACTGGGTCTAAATCCGTCCAAACCCTTTGCCCTTGCAATTCCGACCAACCCTTCTTGGTCGCCCTTCCTGCTACTTGAGCGCGGTTTCTTGGCGCCCGGCGCTCTACCCCCCGGCCAGCCCCTTCTCGCCTGCCCCCCCAGACCCTTGCCCAAGCAAGCCCTTGCTTGTCTTTAGTCTACTGCGCGCAAAACCTGGCGACTTTTACCGGGTGACGGAAGCGGCTTTAGCCCTTAGATTTTCAAAGAGAAGACCATGTGATCGACGACAGTTTCTGGCCTAGACGGAAATCAGCTGCTGGAGCCGCGTATAGATTCAGGTTTGACCACCCCAGACAGAGTAGATGCCGTTAAGCCATGAGAACTGTGCGCACTATTTTCTCAGAGGGCTGTGAGCAGTAATGCAACAAGTAACACACATTGGTATGCACAACATGGAAAACGAGTACGTTATCCGAAGATAAACAATACCCCCCTCACCGAATGATGTCTAATCGATGAGGTGCGCTATGTGCAAACCGGCAAGTGGACATCCACTGCGTGTGTTTCGCAGAAGTTGCAACGCTCAGCTCTGTGATGATCCTTTGAATTCGGGATCGGCCTAAGCATCGATCGCCGCGCACCGGATTGAGAAAATTAAACACCGGCGGGGATACATGATGCCTGCAAAAGAAACGTGCAAACATTTCGAGTCCATGGTGCTCACCACTCTCGATTGCGATGGTCATATCGCCACGGAGGCTGGTTCCAGCCACGATTCCACGACTCACCCCAGGAGCGATCATCCCAGGAGCGGCTATGGCTGCTGTAACGCGTGCCTCCGGCTTCCCCGCTTTGGGGAGCTCTGTTCGAGGTGGTATTGGCTCCTCCTTTGCCGCGGCCCTTCTCGGCTCGATAGGGAGCCGTGGCCGTTTTGGGCTGAGCGGCCCGGGCCCTCTCCTTGTCCTTCTCCTTCTCGTGGACGAAGCGCTCTGCGTGGGGAAGTTGATTGCTTAGCAATGCCTTCACCCACTCCGTGAGATCCCGCTCCTTCGGATCAGGGATTTCCACATCTTGAGAGCGTTCGTCGAGGTACACACCTTGACGAAGTCGGAGGTGTTGAGGAAAGTTCCCAACCACTCAATCGCAAAAGGAGGATCCTTGTGCTGCGCGATCAAGTTCGCTGCTACCATGTCATCCGCACTTGCGGTGAAAAATGTGAGTCTCGCCAAGCTGTTGGCGTCCCCGCGGTTTCCAGCTCGAGAGCCGTAACCGAGGGTTCTTTGCTCCCAACTCCGCCCGGCACTGGGCAAATACGCGTTCACGAGGCAGTCGTCCACGCAACACATCCTGCGGCTGCGTCCCGCCTTCAGTGACTTCAAGGCATACTCGTCCACATTATCAAATTTTTCGGCGGAGCCGTGGAAGCCGTGCTTCTTGTGCAGCTTGACCCACTTCCTGGCGTTCTCTATGGCGTGTGCGCCAAAGGAGAGTCCTCCGCGAATATCGGCTTCCCACCCTGCTTGGGAGCTTCTAAGATCGGCCGAACAAAGTTCTGTGACGTTGATGCCGAGCTCAGATGCTGCAGACTGGTAGATGGACTCGCGGGAGGCGGCCAGGAACGTCCTCAACGTTTGTTGGGAGCTCTTCTGGTTTACACCAGCGCCACAACTGAAGCATACGTGCTGCCCTTCAAGACGGAGGACCCCACAACGCCCGCAAGCAATCCTTGCAAGGCGGCGAGCACGGGGTGCTTCCTTTCTTCCGGCACGCCGCTCTTCGGCTGCCTTGTCTCTGTCGGCATCCGTGAGCGCAAGAAGGTTCCCGACTTCGGCGGTGATAGATCCGCTACCTTCAAACTTGACAGTCACAGGGGTAGCCGGGATAGTCACCTGATCTTCACCTTCAGGACCCGGTGGGAGCATCTTGTTCTTCTTGAGGATCGACTTGGGATGCGCTTGGAGTAGCTTGGGCCTTGGGCTTGTAGTCGCAGTCGGAGAGGACGAAGTACCGGCCTCCTCCCTTCGAGGGGCTTTTTCCGGCGCTTCTCCTTCCATGCTGCGAGCTCGCTCCGCGGAGGTGTCCTCGGCTGCTTCCTCTCGTGCCCACAAGATGGTGTCAGTGCGAGTGTCACGAATGTAGAGGATGCATTGGCCTGGGACCACCTCCCGGCATAAGAAGCCGTCTGACTTGGAGCGGAAAATCCAGGCATACTCAAGGGCATCCTTGGTGGAAACGCACACCTCGATGTGACGATCGGCCCGAATGCCGGCTTTATGCTGCCCTTTTTCCACGGTCTCGTTGGAACAGAAGTTGTGGATGTTCGCGGTGCCAAAGCCGGGGATGAAGCCCTCTTCAAGGATCGCAAAGGCGGGGTCCCTGAATGTTCGATGATACAAACGTTTTGGGCAATCTTCCCATGCCTGCACCGGCCTACTACGGCCTACCTGCATAGGTGGCTTCATCTCCAACTAGCTCGTCCTTCGTCTTCGTAGATAACCACTCGACGACAATGTCGGCGTCGTTGAAGACCAGACCCTTTCCATGACCGTGCGCAGCAGCAATCTCAATCGGCATGCTCGTGAGCCCACACATGTCCGCCCTTGCGTCGTCTGCCCTGCAGCGAAAAACGAAACGACCTTTGTTGTCGGTGGCCATCAAGGCAATGATGGTGCCGATGCCGTAGTTCGTCTCTTTCTCGGAGTTCACAGTGTGCAGGAGCTGGACTATGTTGCACCACGTGCCATCGTGCTCGAGGTTGCTGCGCTTTTCTTTGCCGCGGACGAGCCCTGTGATAAACGTCTTGTGGCGATGGGCCATCCATACCGGCTTTATTTTTGGCATGGCGGCCTGCTCCACTTCGATCATGTCACCGGCCTCGGGAGTTCCCGGGCTTGGTGACTTTGAGATCTCGTCGAAGTCAAGGCCGAGCATGTCGCAGGCATAGAGGTCGTCAGTGATGTTCTGGAATCCCATCACGATTCTGGGCTCGTCTTGAACTTCCTCCTTCTCGCGACGCCTCCGGCTTGGAGCGTCTCCAGCTGCGACAGAGAATGCTGATGCTTCTCCACGTGCCTGGCCCCAACCAGGGTCTTCGCGAAGGATCTTTTCCTCAACCGCAGAGATTCGCTTCTGCTTGGGGATCGTAGACCACTTTGGCGGACTCGATGCGAGACTTGACCTCTGCCGCAAACTGTGCTTCTTCTTCTTGTTCTGCTTCGAGTTCAACACGTGGGACGAAAATGCCCTTACGCACTTCAACCATATCGTCCTGCACCATCGTGCGGATGTGTTCCGGCACGTCGGTGGGGTGCTGCTCGGCGGGGTGGCTGTTGTCGTAGAAGCAATCATCCCAAGGGTCATCGCAGGGCTGTCGCACCGACGGCACCGGCTCATGCCGTGCATTCCCTACCACGGCCGCAACCGCCTCTTCCCTCACCTCTTTGGGAATGAGGAAGCGCATGCGGGCGCTCTCAATGTAGGGAAAATCTCTCATGAGCTCGTGCACAATTCCTCCAGGAATCTGCTTGGCGTACGCGGTGGCGATGCCCAGGCGGAGCGTGTGGGAGATCCACTTCATGAACTTGTGCCTGTTATGAAAATGGTCACACTGATGGAGCGCCCCAGCCAGGTCGGACATATCGACCGCGGCCAGCCCCAACCGGGCGGCATACTCCAGCAGGCCTTTGACCAGTGTCCCAAATTTCGGAGGGAGGCTGAAGACTGATGCACGGGTAGTCGACACCAAGGTGACGTTCCCTACCCGGCTCTCCCCTTGGAGAGCAGACAGCTTCTTGATTTCCCTCGTGATTTTGGGTCCGATGAAGTTCCAGGAGCCCTTGGCGACGTGTGGTCGCCTCCACTGCTTCTCCATCCAATCCTTGAAGTTAGGGTCGAGGAAGACGCCTCTGCCGCCGACCAACTCATTGCCGTTCCACACGACCATAACGTCCACCACCATGTGGGGATTATGGTGGTAGAGGGCCAAGAGCTGGTTCGTCAACGCCGTTGCCCGCTCCACCAGCTTAGTGATGTTCGACCCCCACAAGGGCTCATAGCGGATGTCGGCGTACTCCGGTAGCAAGTTCTTCGCACGCGCCATGATGTCGTGGCTGAGGTCCATCCTCGAATGCCCTCGCGATGCGCTGGCCAGGAACACGGTAGTCGAGTCGGAAACCAAGACCAGAGCACGCTGTCGCCCCAGGACATGATTGGGCTGGAGCTTGGCCAAGCCCTCATCAGAGATCTGCGCTATCTTTGTCAATGGGCCGGCCTCTCCAGGTTGGAGGGCTGTTGTGGCTGCGATCTGTGAAGGAACGTTCTGGTACATCGCACGAAGCTTCTCCTCCACATTGCCGCTGAGACCAAAACGTCTGACCTCTGCAGACATGGCCGCAGTCATCAGTTGTCCGTGCCAGAATTCAGCGCGGGCCACAACCGGCTCATTGTAGACGTAGATCGGACGACTCATGTCCGGCGCGTGGTCTTCCACCGCTAGGGTGGGTGACGGTTTGAATGACAGGTTATTAGAAGGCAAAGCAATAGCGCAAGCAACGATGGATGCTCTAGTGCTGCATTGTTCCTGCCAATGTTTGTGGATTGCATCAGTCAACTGAAATGTGTAGCCCTCAGCAAGCTTAAGGTCGGTGCCCTCGGACTTACC